CATCACGCCAATGACGGACGCAGGTCTAGGGTACCATACTTCCGGGCCGGTGTGCGGGGAGCGAACCTTAACGACCGCCCAGAAGCTTTCTGCGCGAACCAATCGGGCCAGGATCATCAGCATATGTACCCTCCACAACATCGGGGGCGTATGAGCGGTATTTGAGGAGCACCGCGACTCTGAAGTTCGGCCGGGTGGTCTGCAGACCCCCCCCCCCGGGGAGCAGCAGAGGCTCCGTGGGGTCGAAAAGTCGACGCTGGGAGTCGCACTCGTCAAGCCATCGCAGCACCACGCGGTCCGCACGTACCGCCCACATCCCCTCCACCGCTGAGAAGGCGCAGATCGACCGCCGGGCCGCGTAGTCGTCGTTAAGGAGCGGTTTTTGGAGCCGTACGAAGAGGTCCCAGACGGGCGAACATGCGGTTTTTCGACGACCACACGCGATGTGGTATCTGCTTTTTGCTAAAAACGGGCCGCCTAGTGCAGCATCACTAGTACAACACGCAACCACACTGAGAGCTCCACACTAGCCGGTATAGGCGAGCCCCGGCGGCCTCACCGTCGCCGCTCGCGGCGGAGCCGACGGCGGAGCCACGGGCGGGTGCGACCTTTCAAAGCGGCGGCGAAAGGAGCGGCTCACGCCAGCTGAGGAGCGCTTGTACGAGCAGAATGAGCTCATTGTGGACATCGTTGCGCAATACGATCTCCCAGAGCTCAAGGTTATTGGCTCTCATAGCCTGCACGGCCAGTCGCCTGTTTGCCGAGTAGCCGTGGGCCCCTCGTAGGCCGTCGAGTTTGGGCTCTCGCCAACCTTTTACGAGTTTAACGAGCTCGCGCTTCAGTTCGGCTACATCGTGCTCTTCTCGGCCGCGCTGCCCGCCGCCGCAGGGCTCGCGCTGCTCAACAATTTACTCGAACTTCGGCTGGACTCAGTCAAGGTGCTCCCCCGGCCGCATCTCGGCTGCAGACCCAGGCCATACAGCATCTCGGCTGCAGACCCAGGCCATACAGTACGTTCCCGTCCTAGGGCCCACCCTGTCCCCCCTTGCCCCAGGTCCTAAAGCTGACGCGACGCGTGCCCGCCACGAGCGACTCAAAGGGGATCGGCGCGTGGCGCTCGATCCTCCTCTTCTTGACCTACGTGGGACTCGGCACCAACCTTGGCATCTAATCTTCACCTCACTCACCCGATCTCGGCAGAGCTCTCGGCCCGCAATCTCGGCCCATCATCGCGGCAGGTATCCTCATTTACACCTCCGACTGGTTCGAGCGCTTCTACCCTTCCTTCACGCCGCTCGACAAGCTGCTGCTCGTCGTCGTCCTCGAGCACGCGCTGATCGGACTCAAGCTGCTTATCGACGCGTGCGTCCCCGACATGCCCGCGGGGGTCCGCATCGCGCTGGCTCGCGAGGAGTGGCTCGCGGACCAGCGCGTGGCGAGAAACGACCAGCGGTCCACGACAGAGGGGAGTCTTGGTGAAACGCAGTGAGCCGTGTCCACGATCGATTTCAAAATCACCCGACACCGCCCTAGTTTCGCGTCTCGTTGAAGCCCGCGATTGACAAGCGCGGAAAGTGAAGCTCGCGCAGCTTGTGCCACATCCGCACCTACGGCGGTGGGCTCCTCGTAGCGCCGAGGGGCATGCGTCCGCCATCACCCAGTAGTAACCGTTCGCGCACCTCTCGTGGGGCGTCGACGTCGGAATTTAGCTTCTTCTTGCTATCCCAGTAGTGACCTGTTCACGGCAGGAGGCGCGGTACACGGCGCGACCCGATCGTCTGCTGGAGATCCCCGTCGCCACCTCCACGCGACGGAAGACCAAAGCCAAACAGCGTAACTCTCTTGCAGCGGCGGAGAAAGTGGATCGCGGCGGCGAGACCAGTCGACGGGCCGCTCTTTGCGCACGACTCGTTTGCCTGCCGAGGATTGGCGCTGCATTACCTCTGGTGGCACTCACGGCTAGCCGGTCGTGTGCGGTCGTGTGCCATTTTCTTACCTATTACCTATTTTCTAAGCATCTGCCTGCTCCAGGTAGAGTCGCCACGTCTCCTGCACCTCCTCCTTCGACGGGACGGGCGCACAATCGATCCAACCAGGCAACGCGTGCGCGATGCATCGGCATCTCCCGACAGAGGCGGCCTGCTTGGGGCATGATAGCGGCGGCCCGCCTGCTCGTCCGCCGCGCTGGGCCCAGCGCCGCGACTTGCCTATCGCGAGATCATGTGCGCTGCATTTGGCGCCTTTGAGAACGGCCGATACAGTGGTAGCACTGCCAGTGGCCGAAGGAAGATGTGGGTGACAGTGAATAGCTGTCATCTAGCGCGACTTGCCGGGCACTCGGCACTTGTAATCGTCCGTCACACACCAGTTGTCGGAGACAAGCACCGCGACTTGAGGCGAGCCGCTGCGACCACCGTTGTCGTCTGCGTGTAATGGTTGGAGCTGGTGATGCTGCGGCGGCTGCAGCGGCTGCAGCGGCTGCAGCTGGCGCAGCCAACGCGCGACGCTCTCTTGAAGGAGAAGCAAGACATGATAGCCAACTACCACCGTGGTGGTGCGGCGGCCAACATGGTGGTGCAGCGCCTCTGGGGTCGAGGGGCGGGCATCGCCAGTCAGAGGTGACGAACGTGAGCGGTGAATGAGTAAAAGTGGGTCTAGTGGCAGGAGTGGGAGAGGCTGACCTGGCACGGGCGCCAAGGTGGAGCGGACGATCTCGCCGTGGCTGTCAATGGCATCTCCAAATCTATAC